GAGGATCTGAAACCTGGGACCAATGAAGTGGCTGTCAGGTGGATCTTATCACCTGTCAATCCCGCGGACATCAACAGCATTCAGGGTAAATACCCCACTAAACCGAAACTCCCAGCGGTTGGTGGAAATGAAGGGGTTGGAGAGGTCATCGATGTCGGGAGTGGGGTGAAAACTGTCAGGGTAGGGGACAGAGTTGTTCCCAATGGCAATAATCTTGGAACCTGGAGCACGAGGGGAGTTTATCCTGCTCAGGGAGTGATGAAGGTAATTTTCGTGGGGAGTGTTTTTTTTTGTCGGATGTTTGGGGGGATGGAATTCATTAAATGAAGAGAAATATTCGTAAATATCTCAGAAATTGAAAGGATTAGAGGAAATTTCAATAAGAAATTGTTTGTCAACAATTAAATTTCGAATAGTAAATTCTTCTGACTCTTCGGTGTAAGTCCTGTGGATTGAGGGATACCTCCGGATTGGCAAGGAATCAGAGAACTATCACTTTTCGGAGAATCTTCATCAATATCTCGGTAACGAGGAAGTTTAGAAAACAATCTCATAAAGAATTTTGTGTAGAGGATTAAATTTCTAGCAGAAAATTTCCTTATCGTTTCGGTGTAAGTCCAGCGGCTAAGGAGATTCGCCCGTAATTAGAAAGGGAGGTATGGAGACGCCGAAAATACATTTTTCGGAGATTCTTCTTGAATATCTCAGTAAGGAGTGTACTTGAAGGAAAATGTAACAAGATCTTTTTTTTTAGAAAAAAGAATTTCTAGGAGAAAATTCCTCTGTCATTTCACCATTAGCCCATTAATTTCGGAGATACGAACGACCGGAGAAAGGAAATTGGAATGAGCGATTTTGGTTTTTCAATGATTTTTGGCTGGAGATTCCAGAAAGCTTCACTGACGTTGAGGCCAGCATGCTGAACGTGAATCCCTGCACGGCGTACAGGATGCTGAAGGACTTCGTGCCCCTGTGCCCAGGGGACACAATTATCCAGAACGGAGGGAATTCGGCGGTGGGACAGCTGGTGATTCAGCTGTGCAGAGCCTGGGGCTTGAATTCAGTCAGTGTTGTCAGGGATCGAGAGGATATCGGTGATCTCAAGGATCATCTCAAGTGTCTAGGAGCCACTGAGGTCCTTACCGAGACAGAAGTGCGAACCACTGATTTGTTCAAGAGCAAGAGATTAAATCCACCGAAATTAGCGTTCAACTGCGTCTGTGGGGAAAGTGCTCTGAATATTCTCAGGCATTTGGCTCAGGACGGGCT